GTTGGTGAAAGGGCTGGAGGGAGGCAGCATGTTTGGCCTTGCAGTAATAGGCCTTGGGTTACTGCTGGTAATCCTGCCTTCCCCTTGTAGGGTTAGAGGAGGTCAGAACATGTGGCCTCCTTGCCATTTTTGTAAACACACAGGTGTGAGTTCAATTCCAGACCTGAAGGGCCCTAGTGGTTCCACCAGGCTCTATCAGACCAGCAAACCTGGTCCCTTTTTTTTCCCAAATGATTTTGAGTTTTGTTCCACATTGTTCTCCCTCTCTATCCAGGATCTCCTATATAGATCCCCCTCTAAGTGGTTGACAGTGGTAGCCAGGCACCATCTAGCTCTTCTGGTCTCATAGTCATATAGGCTGCAAACTGCATGGTGTACCAGTTGCTAGTACTAATTGTTTCCATGAATCTTTGGTCCATTAAGGTTTTTGGAGTTAAAATATTTTAAATCTGAATATCATTCATAATAATCACTACTACACTCATTTTTTTTTTTTCTATCTTTTTCTCCTGTGAACACATACACAATAATATAATGTTCAGGACTGTCAATGAAAGAACCATCAAAAGACCCTTTTGTTAAAAAACAGAAATAATTTATCCATTAAAGTAATCAAAAACTTACCTAAAGATTTACTCTCTGCTGTCTGTTCAAGTTCTCTGAAAGCACTATATTTATCACCAGGCTCTATGATGTAAAAACAGAAGCTCAGTTATGGTTGGGAACCCTGAGAGCACAACTCGGGGAAGTAAGGGAGAGGAGGTTAACCAAGCACGTCTGACACGAAGTATAAGCACTTTACACATTTACCATAAAGGGCTACCACTAAAGACAAAGATTCATACAATTTAATTAAATGTTACATTCACAGGTTTATGAATTTATAAACTATTTTTACCTCCAAATGGAACAGTATTTTCAGAGGTCTTGTCAGCTGCAATTCCTTTAAAGACAGCATATTTATCCATGGAAGCCGATGTTTTAGTTCCAGGAAGTGGTATCAACAAAGAAGGGGCACTAAAAGGGAGAAAGAAACAATTCTTAATGCCTAGAATATTAAATCCTTCCTTTATCATCAGATAAGAGAATCAAACTAAAATGGCAAATAGCAATAGCAATAACATATGGCTTTTTGTTTTAAAACTTACAAACTATATAGACAACATCACAAATAACTAAAGCAATGTTCTTTTTCCTCAAAAAGAATATATACTTATATGTTGTTGTTATGTGCCATCAAGTCTGACCTGACCCATAGCAACCCCTTCTTGGGTTTCCGAGGCAGTATCACCACAGAAGTAGATTGCCCCATCTTCCTTCCGAGGAGTGGCTGGTGGGTTTGAACTGCCAGCCTTCTGGTTAGCAGTCAAGTGCCTTAGGCATTATGCTACCAGAGCTCCTCTATGCTTACATACACACACATACACACACACACACATGTGAAGATTGGGCAATCTACTTCTATAGAGATACCACCTCGGAAACTCAAGGAAGGGGCTGCCATGAGTCAAACGGACTCGAAGACAGTGAATTTGGTAATAATCATTTCCTTAATTTAAGAGGTATCAGATCCATGCTGAACATCTAACCATCTCTTTAAGTCATAATAATAAACACTGGAACGGTGGTGGAAACAGATTATTATAGAATGATGACCTTCTGCCATTTTAACCTAAAGTCCATAAAATTGAAAAAGTAAACTGCTCTAAATATGTATACTCAATCTGAGAAAAAAACAACTGTATTTTAAAGTAAATAAGGTTAACCTTAATGTGAGTGATTCTCTAAAACAGATTCAGGGCGCAGAGGTGGAACAGTTAAGATAAAATCTATTTATGAAATGTCGTTCAAGCCAAGATGTAAATTATTCTTCTTTTGATCATATTGCATTGCTTACTGGCAGAAGTTCACACATCTGATAAGCAGCAGCAGAGTTAATACAATTTGCATTTTTACAAGGATCAAATCAGCGATTCCTGAAGCTATCTTTGTAGCAAAACAACCATCACTTCAAAATTAGATAAAGATACTTTTCCCTGTGAACATATTTCTGCCTGGATGGAAAAATAGTGTAATGAGTAGGATCTGTGTGGGTAATTCTTGGAAGGCTTAAACATATACTAAAAAGTATTCCTCCCCCTGCCCCCATTCTCTTATCAGACCCAGGCAGCTCCCTGGAAGAACCACCTTTACATATGAATGACTACATACCACCACTAGTTTGTGTCATTCAATACCACACATACAAGTTATATAAATGGATTTCTATTGAGTTCTTTGCCCTGGAGCAAAAATCTTTCCACAGTCATTTAAATCTTCTTATCAGGGGCCTACAAGCAAGGTAAAAACCTGGCTCTAACACATCCATGTTGATGGGGTCCACAGTGCTTTAGGACTTAGTGCCATCAAACATTATAGTGGAGGCATAATTTAATTTCACATCACTACCAAACAGCTGTGACATACTTGATCTTGACAAATATAACAGGTAATCAATCATCTATACATTATAGGTAGGTTTCTTAAAGTTCCATAAGTAATTAAACTACAGCTCATTGTACACACAGTGCTACACATAGGAATAAGGGTAATTAATGTCTTAGAAAAAGACTGATCTATTTGTTTCTCATAGACTTCCAAATTTAGCTGCAGTCATATAAAATCTTTTTAAATCTGATTTATAGGAAACTCCAACACCTCAACAACAAAAAGACAAATAATCCAATTCAAAAATGGATTACACATTTCACCAAAGAGGATATTCAGGTGGCCAACAAACATGAAGAAATGCACACAATCATAAGCCATTAGAGAGATGTAAACCAAAACAACAATGAGATCCCATCTTGCCCCAGCACTAGTAGCAAAGTTCAACAAGACAGAAATGAACAAACGCTGGAGAGGATACGGAGAGATTGGGACTTTCATACACTACTGGTGGGACTGTAAAATGGTACAACCACTGTGGAAAGCAATATGGCAATTCTTTGAAAAGTTGGAATTAGAAATACCATTTAACCCATTCCATTACTAGGTACACATCCTAAAGAAGTGAGAGCCATGACAAGAACAGACATATGCACACCCATGTTCATTGTAGCACTATCTACAATAGCCAAAAGATGGAAGGTGTCCATCAACTGAGGAATGGATAACCAAAGTATGGTACATATACATAATGGAATACTATGCAACCCTAAAGAATAACGTAGAATCTGTAAAACACCTCATAATGTGGATGAACTTGGAGGACATTATGCTGAGTGAAATAAGTCAATCACAGAAGGACAAATATTATATTAGTCTGTTATTGTAAAAAGTCAAGGAAGGTTTATATATGGAAGGAAATTTTCTTTCTTGGTTACCGGCGGCGGGGGAGAGGGAACACTGTTAGATAGGTAGAGACAAGTATTGAAGGGCAATGTACCAAATGTGAGTGACTAACATTATGGCACTGAGGAAGAGGAAGACATAGAGAGGTACATGGGAGGTACAGACAACAAAGATGAACCCTTTTGCACATACAGTACTGGGTTGTCAGTGAAGGCAAACATGGATATATGCGTGTATAGATGGGTGGACAGGTTAGGTCTATTAGGTATGTCTATGCCAGGGGGAATGTGCCCCAGACCACGTATAGGGTTGGCAGACAATGTTTCTACAAGTGTTAACGGTATGTTCTGTAAGAATTCCCAGGTGTATAGTAGAGCTGCAAGGTTGTAGTCACTTCTTGGCCACAGCCAGCTACCCCTAGGGAATGAGTAGTTGGACCTGTGGGCTCAGGACCATAGTCGCAGGGGACATCAAGCTCAATTGGCATAACACACTACACAGAAACACTGTTCCACCTCCTACTTTGGCGAGTAACGACTGGGATCTTAAAAGCTTGCAAGCAGACATCTAGATGCAACAATGGGTCTCTCCTCATCCAGAGCAAAGAAGAATGAAGAAAACCAAAGACACATGGAAACAATTAGACCAAGCAACTGGTACACTATGCGATCCTCAACTTATATGACTATGAGACCAGAAGAACTAGATGGTACCCAGCTACCACTGTCAACCACTCGGAGGGCGATCTATGTAGGAGATCTTGGACAGAGAGGGAGAACAATGTGGAACAAAACTCAAAATCATTTGAAAAAAAAAAGGGACCACCAGGTTTGCTGGTCTGGTGGAGCCTGATGGAACCACTGAGACTATGGCCCCTAGTTGCCCTTCAGGTCTGGAATTGAACCCATACCTGTGGCTTCCAGCCAAACAAAAGACAGGCATATGAGTTGAACATTTACCTGAGATAGATACACTCCTTGGAGGGAACAATCATGGGCAAATAGGAGGGCTGTTTATGCACAGGGGACAGCTCAGGGGGCAGGAGTGCATGGAGGGATGGACACAGGGAAGAGATAACTATAGGGAAGAAGTGGGAGGGGAGCTGTTGCATTGGGGTAAATTGTAGTCAATGTCATGAGACAAAGCATATGTGAACTGCTGTATGGAAAGTGAATTTGCTCTGTAAATTTTTACCCAAACCACAATAAAAAAATTTTTAAAAAAAAATCTTTCTAAATCTGATATTAATTGAGTATTGTTGATTTAAAAATAATATTACAGAATTGGGGAAAAAATCAAGCAACTTCAGGGCAATGAAGTACTGCTGACAGAAGTCAACAAAATAAAATTCCATTCAAAGAAAGTTATGACTCAAGACCATACTGCCAATGAATAATTCATTCTGGTTCTTTCTCTGAAGTTATTATTAAAGAAACCACTGTAATCACCATGAACGTGTTTATGCCAGCTATCTTCTGTTAAAACATAGAAACAGTTATTTCTACTCTTTAATAATAAAGTAAGGTACTCCAGAGCTATTATTTTAAAATTTAAGAGTGTACATTCTATTGAAAGGTTAAGACTTTAGACAGAAAATATACCAGTAAAATCATTTATGTTTTATAATCACTCCATGTGGCTGTGGTAGATTTTTTTACTTAGTTGTCCATCCTGCTAAATATACACATATTTAAAAAGGAATATTTAGCGCTTGGCGAGATAAACTAACTGACTCAAAACTCCTACACATTAACCCCTATACTGTAACCATTCTCAAACTCTTCTATCATCAATGCCTCCTGTTGATTTTATTTATCATCGTAGGCTCCTCAGTGCCTGGAACTCAAGAAGTGTTTCCTGAATGAATAAATGAATGACACTGCTATCTGCCAGACCCTCCTTCACAAGCCTGTAGGATGTAGTCTCACTTGCTCTCTCTCCTTTGACTTTAACATCCAGTGCAACATACACTTCTCAGTGTCTAGAACTCTAAACCCAGAGAATCTCTCATCATCTCATACAGAATTACCACACAGGAGAATCACTTTCATTATGCCACTTCTAATTTCTAACATGCTTTACAGATTAAGTCACGAATCATAAGGCATCCAACAACTGAAGCCACCCTTAATTAACATCATTTTCTCACAGCCTAAACTCTAGCCGACTTCTAATACCTTATATTTTGCAAAATGTGCCTTTTCAGCATCTCTGATGAGAAATACCCATTTTCTGCTTAAAAACACCATCGAAAGTGATCTCATCTTGCCTTAGCTATTCACATCGTGATTTAACAAATCTCCTTTAAAATAAATTCACAATGTGGAATACGGATTATCATAAATTAGGGAACTCATCATACATACATTTTAGGACCGATCCTGAGAGCTGTATCAGCCAATATAAATATCCAGAGAAACCTAAGCTTCTTTAGGGCAGGAACTGGGTTTTTTGCTTCTGCACGTCTACTGCCTTTCCCAATGTCTGGCACATAAACCACTGCCATAGATTCCGACTTACAGCGAACCTACAGGACAGAGTAGACCTGCCCGCACAGGGTTTCCAAGGCTGTAAATCTTTACAGAAGTACATTGCCTCATCTTTCTCCTGTGGAGCAAGTAGGTGGGTTTGAACCCCAGAACTTGTGGTTAGCAGCTGAATGCTTTAACCACTGCATCACCACAGTCTCTTGTGTGGCACATAAAACTCATAGCAGATGTTAAATAAACATTTGCAGAATGTATAAATGACAAGAAGTATGGACACTAAGTCACCAGCAAAATATTTTCATTCAAAGAAAAGTATGGAAGTAGTGAAGTCAGAACTGTAAAAGGACCCCTGCAATTTCAACTACTGAGAGATTTTTTTTTCCCCCGAGAAATGAATCATTGATTTGATAAATTCAGTTTATAGCCCACATACTATAATATATTCATCCAACAAACTTTTACTAATCACATATCCCAAGCTAAGCTGCATGTATATACTTACAACAGAATGTCTTCGGATACTTATAGCCTAGTGAGGGTGAGTATCTGCAGACACCAAAGCAAGTTTCATGTTTCCAAAAATAACCATTTGTCATTAGCTTCTTCAAAGCCAACACCAGAATCAGCAGTGTTAAAATTACTAAAAAGTTATTGTGTAACAACTCAGAAAGTGAACTTATTTGTTAGGGAGACAGTCAAGTAAACCACTAACTACAATACAACAAAACCAAGACACAGATATTCATAAGGTACTATGTGCAAACCAAACAGGTTGGAGGCTTCAGTACATCCAGAAAGAAAGGCCTGGCAACCTGCTTCCGAAAAATCACTCATTGAAAACCCCACAGAACACAGTTCTCTGACACACACACGGGGTCACCACAACTTGGAATGAACTGGACGGCAACTGGTTTTAGGGGAGTAGAGAGGGAGGGGCCCTTAACTCATCTTGGAGGTGGGGTTGATGGAGAAAGGATTACGAGAGCCGATATTTGAAACAGAACCAGAATTAACTGTAGACAGAACCGTTAAGTGCATTTCAGATGTAAGAAAACACAATGTACAAGAGCCAAAAGCTTGAAAAACATGGTCAGTGTGGACCATGGCATGAATGCAATACAAGCTGTGGGAAAAGTGGAAAGAGTCAACAAAGTACACAGGAGCAAGGTCATGCAAGACTTTCCCACGGCAAGCAGGGCTCATAGTGGTGACACTCACAAAAGACAGAAGAGGGAGCCAAAGATAAATTTCATGTTTCTGATTTGATGACTGGATACAGTACACCATTTACCAGGACAAAGTACAATGACTTAACAAATTTTTATTTAGCTTTGAGTAGTAAAACAATGAGTTTAATTTGATACAATGAATCTGAGATGCTCTGGGTCATGCAGATAGAGATGCCAAGTTTAGCACCAGAATGGACAGATTTTGTTCAAAGAAAAGAGATCTGGGATAGAAACATGTTTCTGTAAGGTTAGCCTGGTGTGGAAGTATTGGAAATCTCATTTCTTTACAGTCATATCCATCAGTATGTTTCTTCTATCCCACTGCTGTCAAGTGGATTCTGATTCATAGTGGCCCTACAGGACAGAGTAGAACTGCCCCATAGGGTTTCCAAAGCTGTAAATCTTTACAGAAATAGATGGCCATACATTTTTCCCTTGGAGCAGCTGGTGAGTTCGAATCACCACCCTTTCAGTTAGCGGCCAACCGCTTACCTATTGTGCCATCAGGACTCTTGATTCTTCTATATGTCCCTTACATGTGTTTAATGTATTCTTAAAACTAGGAGAATAATGTCTTTCTCTAATTTTTAATTCTCTATAATGCCTACCTTGAATTCTTGATATAGCATACAAGCAGAAGGTATTAATTAAAAGATGATCAACTCATTAAAGCAAATTCAAGAGATGAATGAACTTGCACAAACAGCATCATAGAAGAAATGGAATATATACCCTGCCAGATACATATTTCCAAATATAAAACCAAAGAAATTGATATTGCTTACTCAAAGTTCAGTGTCTTCTACCCTGTGGAAGAAATATCTACATACTTTTCTAAACAACAACATGGAGAAGTACTGACAAGATACTGCATCAGTTACTGGACCTAAAGGTTAAGCCAGTAACGTGAAACATTAGAGATGTTTATGCAGCTGTCTATTCAGACAGAAATCAGAAGGCCTAAAAGCCATTGCTCCCAAATATAAGAGAGATATGAATATATAATTGTATTTAGATGATTGAATTATGACTTCTGTGGAAAAGCAACACTGCATTATACTACCAAAATATCAAATTGTGTGCTTCTACATAAAAGTTTTTCAACAGTTGAAAATCTGGATCTAATACAAGAACATGAAATCATCACTGCACATGTGCACTCAGCTACAATAAATCAGGTGTAGCAATGGCAAGAAAAAATGTTGGCAAGCAGGTGTGTACAGAGATGAAATGGTAGGAGCTAAAGTTTCAGGCAGACAAAGGGGAGAGAAGTTAGAGAAGGAAAAGTATGAATGAAAACAGGCTAATTAGCGAAAATATTAGAGTAAGTAGTTTCAATTTTCTTACTCATACTTAGTCTTTTCACATTTTAAAAATTATTGAATACGTTGTTAAATATATTCAACTCCTTTCTACCTGTTTCCATGCTGGGAATTACTTGTTTTTGAAGAAGCAGGAGGCACTTCTTGGAAATCACTGAAGGAGTCATCAAGAGATCCTGACTTAGAAGCATCTTGAAAATCCTGGAAGTCGTCGTCTTCTGGTTTTACCACCTGAATTTTACAGGGGACATTTGTAAGGAGAAAAGCATCAAAGTGATAAGACAGTTAACAACACATCTCCAACTGTCCACCTCAGAGACTGCACTTTAAATTCCTCAAGTTAGGGTCAATTACCTAATTTCAGAAGAATACCCTTCAGACATACCATCAACTTAAGTACTTAAGAAAAGAATCTTCTTTTGTATTTTTAGACACATTCCAGGACACACAGTAAAACAATCGTTAAAAGAATGAATCTGTACAATTTTTTAAATAGCCAAATTGCATCGATTGGGTTACTGGACAGACCAGGGGAGGTGTGGCAGTACAATGGTTAAAGCATTCAGCGATTAACCTCACGGTTAGGGGTTTAAATCCACCAGGCGCTCCATGGGAGAAATATGAAACAATCTGATTTTTTTTTTTTTATTTTTATTTTAAGAGCTTGTTTTACATTCAACATCACGTGTACATTTAGTTTCATTCCCCATTCGTCATGCCCAACCCTAACCCAGTCTCCTCCCCTCTCTATGCTGCAACCCTCCCCCCGTGCCTCTCATAATGATGCTGCATTTCCTCAGTTTGAATGTTGTCCTCTGGTGTCCCATGGTCTATTGCACTAAGGGATGTATTACCATTGAGTGTGTGGGTGCGGCATCCTGGGTTGAGTGGTCTGCGTGTACATCTTGTTAACTATTGGGCTAAGAGCCCACCCTGGGGGTGAGTTTTGTTCCAGGCACCAGATGTATTTCAGGGCCATAGTATTGGGAGTTTCACCAGACTTCATCTGACCAGTAATTCTGGTCATTATTGAGTTTTTGGATTTTGTTCCATGTTGTCCCTCCCACTCTATCCAGGATCTCCAGATTTGATCCTTTCCTGAGTGGTTGGCATTGGTAGCTGGGCACCATCTAGTTCTTCTGGTCTCGAGGGCCATCGTGTCCTAGGGCTGACTGCTTCTAAATGCCTTTTTTTTTTTTTTTTGCACATTCTTCTTCACTTCTGATGCTAGGAGACCATTAGCTGCATCTTAGATGGCTGCTTGAAAGCTTTTAAGACCCCAGTCGCTACTCACCAACGTAGGATGTGGAGCAATGCTTTTATGTATTTTGTTGTGCCAATTGAGCCTGGTGTCCCCCAGTACTATGGTCCTGAGGTAGCAGATCTATTGGATCTCTCTCCCATAGTGTCGGGATGTCTGTGAGGGATTACTCTGTGTCTGTCTTCTATTGTTTCTGTAAGGACTGCAGGTATTTTGTATCACTGGTGCTTGCACAAGGAGGCAATCTGCTTTCATAAAGATCTACAGCCTTGGAAACCCCTTGTGGGTGGTTCTACTCTGTCACAGGGTCACTATGAGTTCGAATTGACTCGATGGCAATGGGTTTGGTTTTAGTTGGACAGACCAGAGATTCAAAACAAACCAAACCAAACCCATCTACTTGATTCTGACTTACAACAACACTAAGTATTACTAATAGTTCATTTGTTTTATAGTATATTAGTCCATACTTTAAAACAATGTAGTCATGTAACATGGACATTTTCCCATGCAGTGCATATAGATCTATCTCATTTATTTTAATGACCAAATAGTTTACCACTGTATGGATGAACCAAAATTTATCTAAACTTCCTTCTAAAGACATTTAGCTGTTTCTAATGTTTTATTCTCACAAACGATACTACAACAGGTATCTTTCTATCTCTTTGCTAATTTGAGTTACTAACAGACTTCTAACAGTGTGACTGCTTAGGTCTCTTTACAAGCATTTAAAATTTTGATAGTTACTGCCAAACCCTCCTTCCATAAAGTTTGCACAAATAATCTACAGTATCTTAGTCATTTTCCCCCTACATTTTCACTGACACTAAATATAAGGTTTTTTTTTTTTTTTTTTTTTTAATTTTTGCTAATCTGCAAAGTGAAAAATAAACTAAGGTACTTTAACTTGAAGTTCAGCAGTTTCCTCAAAACACAAAAAATTTGTCAAAACGATTTGTTAGGTTTGAAGTTAAAATGTATATACCTAAAGAACTATAAATCTTTAGCTAAAATTCAAATAGTTCAAGGCTTAAGAAATATCTTTATGCTTTTTAAATAATAAAAAATGTTGGAATACTGTTTATTTTTCACCTTAAGTGTACATCACAATCCAGCAATATTCTGTACGCATCCGTGGAAAAAAAGTTGGCCAGATTCACTACAAGGGATTATTCAGAATATGCACAATTTCTCCATTTACCTGATTTGCAGGGTAAGTCGGCAAGAAGCCACTGGAAGCCTGGGCTGCAGCGCCACCCACTGGTCCAACAAGGTTAATGCCCATGACTGGCTGTCCCAGACTGAGGGGCATGGAGCCCGCAGGGCCTGAGGGCATCACAGCTGGCTGACTCACCGGGGTGGGAAGAGTCATAGGAAAGCCACTTAACGTCGGAATAGGAGCTGCTGGGAACTGGTTTAGAGCGTCAGGACTCATGGCAGGGACACCCCTCTACACAGACCAGGAGGAAAATGGAAACATTTTGGGAGATTGTAAACCATGTACAACCTAAACCTGGCAAGAGACCTAAATAAAAAACCTGTAGTTCTAGTATCTGGCTCTCTCAAAACATAGGAATTTATTAACTGCCTGCCCCCACAAAAGTTAACAAATTTAATGCAAAACATTATTACTTAGCAAAGCAAGTGTCAATACATATTTGACATTTCTGACATTTTCCTCTCTGATAATTTTGGCTAATTCACCATAATCAAATCATTCGGTATAATTTTATAACGTAAGAAAAACTGTTAGCAGACTGAGAATACTTATCTATATCTAAGGAATTTTAAACAAAGGAGAAAGTAATTTTACTCATTACTGAATAGCTCTCAAGTTCAGAAGGGATACAGTTAGTCCAGAGAATGTTATATATATACTAAACCTTCTTTAAACAAAAGAACAGTGTGCTAGTATGTACATCATATAAACTGAATTTTTATAGTACTGTATCCTGAAAATGATCTAAATTTCAATGTAGAGATTTCTACAGTGTTATAGTCAAAAAAGGATTCATATTCCTTCAATTTATATTGAAAAGCTATTTCAGCGACTACCTGTGTTATTGCTATCATGGCCAGAACGGTATAAAGCTCTTCTTTAGTAAGCTTGCCAGGTGTAGTTCGATTAGCTAAGGCCCATATCTGTCCAAGAGTTTCCCTGGGAAGTCCAGATGACATCAGAATGGGGTAAAGTTTAGCGGTATCTATTCCAGTTGGAGTCATTGTGGTTTCTAAAATTTTCTTATAGGCATCTATTAAAAGAAGGACCATATTACAAATGTAAATGCATTCCAAGTGACTTTCTTTTTCTTTATCATTGCTATTGTGATACAAAAATAATCTTCAGTCAAACTGCTTTAATAGACATTTCTAATCCAAAGCCACCACAAGGTTTGAATTGTTGTAAAGATATCCAAATGGAAGTAATCCAGAAGACAGGGTTTACAGCTCAGAAGAGAGAATAGAACTTGGTCTTAAAGATTAAGAAACAAGAATTATATCAAGACCACCTTTCTCCCCACCCAATAAATCAGAGGCTAAGAGAGAAAACGTGACTGGGGAAGGTGCTATGGAAGTAGAACCTTCAGGGAAAATCTGGTTTCCATTAAGGTTAGGAAGCAGAAAGAGGGTTTGAAAAAAAGGAGAGACAACTGGGGAGCTTTGCATAATCAACTGGGGTTTCCAAAGAATAAAGTAGAAAGGCTGTTAGAAGTAGGGCCATATGAAGTACAGGACACCCATGCTGCACAGGACATACTTATATAACTCAACTATTTGTTGTTCACTTTAAATTCAAATGTAACTAGGCATCTTGTTTATGTATTTGCTAAATCTGACAACCTTAGTTAGAGGAGCTGCCGGGGAGGAAAGTGGGTAGGGTTGCGGCAGACAGGGAAAAATTTCAAAACAAAAATTTTACATCTAGGACTATAAATGGGGAGTACAAATTAAGAGGCTGGCCATTAAAAGAAATATTTTGGCTAAAAAACTATGCACACGTGTATGTTTGGAAGGAGGATAGAGAAAGAAACATAAATCAGCAGAAAATGAATAGAACTCCACAGTACACCAAAATCTAGATTTCTGTTGTTGCTGTTGTTGATTTGGCTTAAGGACAGATAAGAAGAGGAAAAGATATAAACTGTCTAATGTGCAACTGGAACAAAAAACATTACATTTATCTTTAATTGAAGTCCCATATGTGTCCACATGTGATTATGATATAAACTAGACGGTGCTGGTTTCTTCCACAGAAATTCACCGATAGGAACCTCACATGAGTTTTATTTAATCAACCATGGAAAAGAAAGAACTTTAGTCTATGATCAACATAGAAAACTGAAGTTCTCTTATTTTTCAAGAGGTTGACGTAAAATTAAACAAGTTACAATATGTATATGTATATACTGTTACAATATGTATATACTAATAGTCATTTGTCTATGCAAATCAATCTAAACTTAAATAGACTATTTCCTTATATTCAAGAGAATAATATCATCAAATGTGGACCTCAGTGATTTTTTTTTGGCTCAGACAAAATATTATACATATAGAAAAAAGTAAACATCACTTTCCAATGTAGAAAAAGATGCCATCTGGTCTTTAACTTCATATATATTTTGACAAAGAAGTCAAAAAGTATTTAAAAACATATAAACTCATCATTAACAGGGAGCTTTGGTAGCGTATTGCCTAAGGTACTTGACTGGTAACCAGAAGGCTGGCGGTTCAAACCCACCAGCCATTCCTCAGAAGGAAGGTTGGGCAATCTACTTCCGTAGTGATACTGCCTTGGAAACCCAAGGAGGGGTCGCTATGAGTCGGGTCCGACTCCATGGCACATAACGACAACAACAATCATTAACAAGGAGTTCTGGTGGCACAGGTATTTGCTGCTAACCGGAAGGTCAGCAGTTCAAACCCACCAGCTGCTCGTTGGGAGGAAGATAGGGCAATTTACTTCTGAAAAGATTTACAGCCTTGGAAACCCACCAGGGGTCATTATGAATCAGAATCAACTCAATAGCAGTTGGTTTTATTTGAATCATATTAACAGTTCAGAAAACTAGTGTTTATTAAGCAAATCAGTTTAATTAGTGCAATTAATTACACGTGTTAATACTATTTGGTAATCTATGAAATAAATATTTGAGAATGACTTTTAAAGCATGAGAAATCCAAGGATGCTTTTAGAAATGAAAGTACATGATGGTCAATAAAACATTAAAGTAAAACACTTCTCTTGTATTTTTAGTTATTCCCTATAGGAGGCAGCTTTAAGTTTCTGTACTCCTTCAAAAAAAAATAAAAGAGAAAATTTACAATTCCTTCTGTATATTTCTTTAACCACAACAGTAAAAATCTACAACATCTAAAACAAAATGATTCAAATAGGGATCCTGAGCAAGGAAACTCTTACCTGGAACCAGACTCTCATTGTAAATCCAAGGAGGCATTCTGGGCTGAACAGTGTCCTGTGAAGGAAACACTCCCACACCTACAAGATAAGGCACATTATGAACATTATCTAATGCATATCATGGCCCATGTGGAAGGCGCAAAATCACATGGAGTCACGGCTTACTGTATTGAACAGCACTGGCTGGAGACACTTAAAAAAAAAAAGTCACCAAAACAACTAAAAGATTTGGTTTCTAAACAACTGTACATTAACTATGCCCTTATGAATAAAGAAAAACTCAAATGTACCAAATCAATATTCTGAATCATAGGTGGCTTGGACCATCTCATGTGTATTATAAATTAAAGGAAAAAACATGATAGGCAGTGTTTTAAAAATATATATTTATAAAAAATGTAACTGCCCCAAGCTTACTTTATAGCTTTCAATACTGCTTCTTTTAATACTGCAAAGTCTGATTTTTAATTTGAATATAACAACTGCTACCTTAGATGTATAGGGCTTTTGTTTTGCTTTGCTTCTTAGTGCAATGTAATAATTTCTTGTCCAATAAAATATCCTCTATAAGTTTGCCTTCTGGGCTGGACACATTTTAATTCCTTTCTGTGAACTGAACTGATATTATCTGATTCTTTAAGGCAGCAGTGTGGCAGGGTATATGATTCTCATTGGTGACTTTTCCAGCTGTAATTTAACCCCTCAATCTTTATGGAAGCATGGGAATTGTAAAGGGGAAAAAAAGAGTTTTCATAAAATAAGAGGAAGAGGAATTTTAAAACAGGAATGATTGTGATTAAGAAATCTGGTTATTAAAATCATTTTTCAAAAAGGCAAAATAGTGTGTTGAAAGAATTTAGAGCAAAATCTTAGTGGTTAATTAGAGAAAGGGATGCATCAAATTTATTTTAAGCAAGATTTCACCCAGCAAAATCATCAAGCAGCATTCATTTTAAGATTAATGCTTAAGATGTTAGCATTTAAGCGATACTTGGTTAAATGAGTTGTTTCGCTGAATGTTTCATGAGCTCACCACTCTCTCCAATTGACAGGGTTTGGTCTGAAGTCTTTTCTGCCTCTGCTGTGGTGGCACCACTTACACGTCCATCTATAGCACCCCCATTACTGGCCGTTAAACTGGGATGGCTCTTACTGGAAACTGGGCCTAGGGCTTGGTGGTGCCCAACTTCAGAAGCATTTAATTTAATTTGTTCCTGCCCAGGTGCACTTATGTCACAAGATACTAGGAACTTCTTCTCCAAGGAAGGGCCTAAACAAACAGCATGAAGGATTATTTGTAGGTAACAGCATATTCCTGATCTCGTCCATCACCTGTTCCACCCCCATATCCTCCAGAGCAAACCTGCCACATTACAAACCTGAATATAATTCAATCATTAGACATTTGCATAGAACTTGAGAGGTTTTAGAAATTTGAGAGAACTTACACACACAATACCCACTTTGTTTCTCAAGAATCCTGTGAGAGGGCTGGGAGAATGGTGTCAGCGTTGTGGAAGGGGCACCAACTAGGTCTGTTTCCATATCTCTCAAATGAGAGAGTCTGGATGAGGTGCGCGTCCCCTAGGAGCTCCCCCATCACTAGCCATCACTTCAAGACAGAGTGTATTTAAATAAATAAATAACCCTACTGCCATCAAGCTGATTCCAATTCATGGCAACCCTAGAAGACAGAGCAGATCTGCCCATAGGGTCTTCAACGCTGTAATCTTCACGGAAGCAGACTGCTTCATCTTTATACTGCGAAGCAGCTGGTGGCTTAGAACTGCAGACCTTTCTGTTCCCACGATTGCACAGATGCTAAAACTAAGGTGTAAAAATGTTTTACAGACTTGTCCAAGGACAAACTGACTTCTGATCCCAAGTGCTCTGTCACTTAACCAGAGAACACACTTTGTACAGTAGTTTTCCCTGGCTCTTACTCTTCAGAAAATGGTATTAGTGATTTTCCCAAACAAAAGAGTAACTCCTTAAACTCCTTAAGAAATTGGTTTGTTTTTAAAGGTGGTTTAGAAAGCTCCTAAATTAGGAGCAAAGGTTTTAAATCACTCTTCTGGAATATGAAGCCTCCAGAATTGAAAAATCTAGATTCTTATTTTGGTGGATTTCAAAACCACTCATGTAATTCATGTACAGGTTTCTTACCAACATCACTATGTTATTCTGCTTATATAATAGAAGTAAATTTACCTAGATTATTGTAAGAATATTTTCATTAATAAATACTAGGAGTCACCTGCTTTCTGTACAGTGTGTGAGGCTGAAGCAGTAGAGAAATAAGGAATTTGCCCAGGGATACCAGTAAGGCAAGAGACACTGGAATCTGACCTGGAGGGAGAGGCTGTGCCCCAGCCTTCTGTGTATGCAACTGGCCAACTGGGGCTGTGGGGTGGAAAGACTGAAAAGGCTGGGAAGTGGAAGAAGGCCCACATTTGGGAACTTCAACAGGCCCCTGCATAAAGTCACTGAATTCTTCTTCATCAAGAAAGGCAGGTGATTGGGAGACAGTTATAGAAGAATGAGATGATGTGGGACAATCTGCAAAATGGAAAATGGCAATGAAACACACAGGAATGAAAACCAACAGGGAAAAAGAAATCCAGATATAGTACAATTCCAAAAGAATATACTGAAATACGAATACCAGAGGTGAACAAGAAATAACACAAGTAACCACAATCAAACGAAATTATATAATGCATGCAAAAACACTCTGATGTCTACTTATACACAATTTTATGTCTTTTTAAAATGAGATTTCATAGCTATTTTGCATTCACCTCAAAGTCAAACAAAAAAAAAACTCCCATGAAACTTAAAACTTTCCTCCCTTCTTTGATTAGTTAGAACTAGCTTTTTTTTTTTTTTTTTCCCTGAAACCAGTAATAATTATCAAAGTGGTGATTACTTCTGAAACCCAAATGATCTATTTATCTGGATGACATTCTCTCAAAAAACGATGTAAGGAAACTTACTCATATACTGCAAAATACGTTACATTTTGGAGAAACAATACTGTTCAAATTTCATTATGACAGAAAGGAACAAACTTGTAGTTTTTCACATTTATATTTTGCATAAATCACATTTCAGTAAAGTTATAATATAAGGAATGAAAATTACAAACGATAACAAGAACATTAAAACACGTTACCAAGGTGTTATTTTCTTGTGAAAAACATAAAAACTGGGAGACCATAAAGTCCTAAAGCAAACAATTTAACAACCAATTTGTGAAAGTTAATCTTGACTGAGGACTATGTTTAAAAGATCGTTGGCACTAAAGGATATAAACATCACTATGTTCTTTTATATTGTTAAATGTGAGATTAATTTATATAATAAACCTGCTCTACTACATGTGACATGAGGCTCACTAACAATATTACAGTTAAGGTTGCTAACTAAAAGGTCAGCAGTTCAAATCTACCAGCCACTCCATGGGAGAATGATGAGGCAATCTGCTCCTATAAAGATTTACAGCCTTGGAAACTCTACAGGGGAATTCTACCTTGTCCTATAGGCTTGCTATGAGTCAGAATCAACTCAATGGCAGGGGGTAATGTCATGGGATTCAGGCTAGGGGTCAAAGTGGTACAAGCAGTTTTTGGTTGCCAACAGACTGGCAGTGTGAATCCACTCAGCACCATCTCAAAAGAAAGACATGGCAGTCTGCTTCCATAAAGATTAACAACCAAAACCAAACTCACTGCCATCAAGTCAATTCCAATTTATGTGACTCCACATAGAATGACTCCATAAGGTTTTCTTGGCTATAATCTTCTTATGTGTGTGATTTGGGTGAAAGTTTACAGAGAAAATAAATTCCCCATTCAACAATTTATATACATTTTGATTCGTAACTGTGGTTGTCATTTCTTCAGTGTAACAGCACTCTTCCCACTTCATCCCTTGGTTCCGCGTTTCTGTTCGTCCTTCTTTACTGCCCCTTCCTACCTTCTGAGCTCTGTTTTTGGACCAAGTCTGCCCTTTTGGTCTTGTATGGTTGATTGTTCTGAGAAGCACGTTCCTCGTGGCTGTTTGTTCACATTATAGGCCTGTTGCTTATTTGGCTGAAAGGTTCCGGGTTTGAAGGGTATCTAAGGGCCATAGTTTGGGGGGTTCCACCAGTCTCTATCAGACCAGTAAGTCTCACCATTTTTATGATTTTGAATTTTGTTCTACATTTTCTCCCCACTCTGTCCAGAACCTTCTATGTGATCACCATGTGAGAAGTCAGCAGTGGTAGCTGGGTACCATCTAGTTCACCATCTAGGGTCTCAGGATACTGGAGGCTGTGGTTCACATTGTTATTAGTTCTTTGGACTGTTTCTTTGAGTCTTTGCTATTCTTCACTCTTCATTGCTCAGGATGGGGAGAGACCAATAGCTGCATCTTTCATGGCCGTTTGCAAGCTTCTAAGAGACCGCAGTCGCTACTCACCAACTAGGATATAGAACCATTGTCTTTACAGACTATGTTATGCCAGTTGACCTAGATGTCCCCCAGGACTGTGGTCTTAAGCCCCCTAACTCAGTGACTTTTCCCTTAAGGTGCTGGTTATGGCTAAGAAGTTTTCATAATTTTGTCCTCTCTATGCTCTACCGCATACCTGGATATATTTGTAGCACATACACAAACACATATGTAGAAATATCCTCTGCCAAAGCGACATACACTCATGGGTGTAGTTCCTTTTGCCTTCCTACACTTACCCAGCTTGCATGTTTACCTATTTATCCACTTACAGATTATTGCTTGTTATTATTGTTATTGTAGCATTATGTGTGTAATAGTATTAACATTTGTTGCCTTTAACTCTTATGCACCTCCCAAGGACTTCCTCTGCCTTGGTCATAGTGTGCTGACTTTCTATTTTGGCTATACTTTACAGAAGTAGATTGACAGGTCTTTTTTCCATGGCACTGATGGGTGGGTTCGAACTGCCAACCTTTAAGTCAGTAGTTGAGTGAAAACCATTTGTGCCACCCAGGGACTTTAAAGATCACAGCCAAGAAAACCCTATGGAGCAGTTACGCTCTGTAACATGCAGGATCACCATGAGTCTGCATCGACACAATGGCAATGGGTTTTAATGTCACAAAGCACGGTCTTTAAAAAAAAAAGTTCTCATCTGAAAATATGCTTATCACTTCTCTCTTGGATCGATAAACTAAAAACTTGAAGTATTTAAAGTTCTACAGAAGATACATAATGAATATTCAAAATTATTGCCTTAATTAAAAAAAAAAAAAAGCCTTCTTGGACCGGTACTGGTACAAAGTAGAAGTAATGGAAATCTGAGAACTAATCTGAAAAGGCATAATTCTTAAAAGGCATAAGGGACCACCCCTATTCACTAGCAATAAGGCTACAAAAGCTTAAACAATGTTTCTTCATA